CACTTGACTGCTAACCAGAAGGCTGGCAGTTCAAATCCACCAGCCACTCCTCAGAAGGAAGGTTGGGCAATCTACTTCTGTAGTGATACTGCCTCAGAAACCCAAGAGGGGTCTGACTCGACAGCATATAACAACAACAACAACAACATGAAGCAGTTCTACCCTGTTCTGTAGGGTCACTATGAGTCAGAATCAACTTAAAGACCTTGGGATGGGGTGAAAAATGTGATTGTGGAAGCACAAAAGAGGGTGCCTAACAGTTCCTGCAAGGCAAGTTTTCCTGAAGGATGGGAGACCTGAAATGACAAAGGGAAGGGTGTTCTAGACAGCTCTCGCAATTCTTAGCAGTAATACAAGGGAGATCCCAGCAGATACGTACCATTTGAAAGGTGAAGAACCTGAGATTCAGGTGTTCACTGAAGTGTCGTGCAGCTCATAAAAGGTGAGATTCAGACTAGACTCCAGGTCTTCTGTCTCCTTTTCCTGGTTTTCCAACATGTCACACACTACATTTCAGGTGACTAAGGTAACAAAAAATACAAGCATTTCAATCAATAACAGCAAAAAAACGTGGACAGTCCTTTGGAGAGCAATTTGTGGAAGGACTTAACCTGATGTATATAGTGATTTTTCTAATGTCTTGCTTCCATCTCCATCTTTTGGCTGCAAAGGTGCTTTTGAGTATAGTTCCACATTTGCAATTTTGGAGTCAGTTACACCTTTATGTATGTCTTTTCCTCCACAATGTGCCTCCAGATTAGGAAAACGGCAGTTTTCTCTGGCCATGCTGCCCTCATCAGAAGCCACTGTTAAGGTTTCTTCAAGCTCACTGTGGCTGTTGTTTGGAGGCTGGATGCTGCAGAAATGACCAAGGAGTGGGGAACACCCACTTAGAAAGGGGAAGGCCCTCTGACAAAGGATATTTAACTGGCCTGTTGCTTTGCTCTGCTGCTGCTGTCCCCAGGAATTCACGGAAGATCTGAAAGACACCGAAGCTTCTACCTGCATCTCACCATCAGCCTTGAATTTCCTGGTGGAGTTGAGTGTCAGCAGAAGGCAGCAGGAATAGTTGGTTAAGAGGAGAGATACTGGATGAAGTCTAAGAGTCCTGGATGGGAATCTCCTTTTGTGACAGTGGGCCTAGTTAGGCCCCTCTCCTCATCCTGAAATGAGCCATTTCTTCTACACTTAAGTTTTGAAAACTTCAATTGGATCTGTCACAATCAGAGAATATGATTTACATTTTCTTTGACTTAAATTCAGTATCAGAATAAACACCACAACCATAAAATTAAAGCTATTAAATTAAAAAATTGTTTCTGCAAGAAAAACCACTTGTTATTCTGAATCTTAAATGTTAACCCCTTTCCCCCACTGAAATTACTATTTTTATAGTAGGAGGTTTGGGCAATTATTCCATTATAGTAAAAGTCTATACCTGTTGTTCTTGTTAGGTACCGTTAAGTCGTTTCCGACTCATAGTGACCCTACGCATAGCAGAATGAAACGGTGCCTGGTCCCGTGCCAGCTCCACAATCCCTGCTATACTTGAGCCCATCGCCACAGCCACTGTGTCAATCCATTTCGTTGAGGGCCTTCCCCTCTTTTGTCAACCCTCCACCTTACCAAGCATGATATACTTCTCTAGGGAATGGTCCCTTCTTACAACATTACCAAAGTAGGTGAGATGAAGTCTGGCCATTCTCGCTTTCAAGGAGCATCCTGGCTGCACTTCCTCCAGAACGGATTTGTTAGTTCTTTTAGCAGTCCCTGGTACTTTCAGCATTCTTTGCTAGCACCACATCTCAAAAGCATCAATTCTTCGGTCTTCCTTATTCATTGTCCAGCTCTCACATGCATATAAGGCAATTGAAAATAACATGGCTTGTGTCAGGCGCATCTTAGTCCTCAAGGATACATCTTTTGCTCTTCAGCACTTGAAAGAGCTCCTTTGCAGCTGATTTGCCCAGTACTATATGTCGTTGAAGGAAGGTTGGGCAATCTACTTCTGTAGTGATACTGCATCGGAAACCCAAGGAGGGATTGCTAGGAGTCAGATCTGACTTGATGGCAATGAATTTGTTTGGTTTGTAATACGTCGTCTGATGTAATGACTGCTACACCATTGGCGTCGATTGTAGAACCAAACAATGTGAACCCTTTGACAACTTCAGTCTTTTCTCCATTTATCATGATGCTACTTATAGGTCCAGTTAAGAGGATTTCTGTTTTCTTTATATTGAGATGTAACCTATACTGCAGACTCTATTCTTCAATCTTTATCAGTAAGTGCCTCAAGTCATCTTCATTTTCAGCAAGGAAAGTTGTGTCATCAGCGTATCGCAGGTTAATGATTCTTCCTCCAATCCCGATGCCACATTCTTTTTCACGTAGTCCACCCAGCCTCTGGGATTATTTGCTTGGCATACAGATTGAATAAGTATGGTGAAAATATATAACCCTGACACACTCCCTGATTTTAAACCGTGCAGTATCGCCTTGTTCTATTCAAATAACAGCCTCCTGGTCTATGTACAGGTTCCTCATGAGTACAATTAAGTGTTCTGAAATTCCCATTCTTCTCAATGTTACCCATAATTTGTTATGCTCCACACAATCAAATGCTTTTGCATAGTCAATAAAACATAAGTAAACATCTTTCTGGTATTCTTTGCTTTGAGCCAAGATCCATCTGACATCAGCAATGATATCCCTCATTCTGCATCCTCTTCTGAATCCAGCTTGCACTTCTGGAAGTTCTCTGTCAATATATTGCTGCAACCATTTTGAATTATCTTCAGTAAGATTTTAATTGCATGCGGTATTAATGATATTGTTTGATAATTTCCACATTCTGTGGGATCACCTTTCTTTGGAATGGGTACAAATATGGATCTCTTCCAGTCAGTTGGCCAGGTAGCTGTCTTCCAAATCTCTTGGCGTAATTGAGTGAGTGCCTCTAGCAGGGCATCCGTTTGTTGAAACATCTCAATAGGTATTCTGTCAATTCCTGGTGCCTTGTTCTTCACCAATTCCTTCCGTGCAGCTTCAAATTTTTCTTCAGTACCATTGGTTCTTGATCATATGCCACCTCCTGAAATGGATGAAGATTGACCAGGTCTTTATGGTACAATGACTCTGTGTATTCCTTCCATCTTCTTTTAATACTTCCTGCATCACTCAATATTTTGCCCATAGAATCTTTCAATATCACAACTCGAGGCTTAAATTTTTTTCCTCAGTTCTTTCAGCTTGAGAAATGCTGAGCATGTTCTTCCCTTTTGGTTTTCAGACCCCAGGTCTTTGCACATTTCATTATAGTAATTGGCTTTGTCTGCTCAAGCTGCTCTTTGAAATCTTCTGTTCAGTTCTTTTATCTTGTCATTTCTTCCATTTGCTTTAGCTACTCTCCGCTCAAGGGCAATTTTCAGAGTTTCTTCTGACATCCATTTTGGTCTTTTCTTTCTTCCTTCCTCTTGCTTTCTTCATGGATGATGTTCTTGATGTCATCCCATGATTCTTCTGGTTTGGTCATTAGTGTTCAATGCATCAAATCTATTCTTTAGATAGTCTCTAAATTCAGAAGGGATATGTTCAAGGTCATTATTTTGGCACTTGTGGACTTGTTTTAATTGTCTTCAACGTCAAGT